ATTGGGAGTCCCAATTGAATTTTTTCCCGATTCAATTTTAGCATAATTATTTCTCTTGTTTCAATTTGAAAACTATAAAAAAGCGGAATAGTTGTTTCTCTTAATAAATACTTACTTTGCATGACTAACCCAATAGTATAATCCTATCGGGTTATTCATGATTAAACGCGATGTTGAATTGTAAAACTTCACTTAGTACTTTTACGACAAACTTTATTTATAAATCTAAACACATAATTAATTACTATTAAAGTTGCTAAGTGAAATGAGTGGCAGCCCTAGATATCATTGCGAACCGCAGTGACCGGTGAGTGTGTTTATAAAAGATGCCGCTTCACTTTTCCGGTCCGTCCGCTTCCGGTTTCTGAGACATGCTGCCGCTACACGTGCTGCCAGCTCTAATTTTTTCCCTTAATTGGGTAATTTTTTTACGGGATAAATCCCATAAAAATTGTATGATATTAAAGAAAGGTAAGCTATCTTTTAAATATCTATCTATCTTTTTAATATTTTTGATTACATGGTATTATTAAAATATATTTTTTTTAAATTGAAGTTGATGTTATTGAAATAACATTAATCACTTTTAAAAATTTATTCGTATAACAATAAGTTAAGAGCGTCGCAAATAAGGTTGGTTAAGTTACGTTAGCCAATGTTCCTGCCAATCGGTTAACAAAAACGGTACCCGGATAATAATTTCTCTGTCTTACTTTTATTTATTAGGATACGGTGAAAACAATTATTAATGATGCACAACATTCTTTCAAACATTTTACTTATTTTGTCATAAAAATAATTTAGTATAGCGTACACTTTCAGACAATTTTCATTTGGTTTATTTCGGTATTATTAAAAATTACTTACGATATCAGTTCTTGTAATAATTCACAATGTTAAAACATAAATTTGATCGAACACGTAATGCACAATCCATTCAATTGCAGATTTCATTTCTAAAACAATTTTGGGAATTTGGTGAAAAAAGTTGCAACACTCGAATATTCAGTAGGAAGAACCGAAGAACGAATGATCGCGGCTTCTTTGATATGAGCGAGGCATGAGGCCGACCAGTGGCAAAAAACTTTCCATCTCGGTTTGCGAATGCGTATTTTAAAGTTTATTTCGTTAAATTAGTTATCATAGTTTTTAGTTGAGCGTGTTAGGTTTATTTATTTAGTGTTTATTTTAAGTTTTATTAGACAATAAGTGCATCTCATCATGCCTAATGCGTATGTGTACAGTGCTCGTGAGTATGGGAACATGGTTATGTGTTTAGGAGAAGCACGTGGCAATGCTTCTCTAGCTTTGAGAATTTACCGGGAAAGATTTCCTAATGTGCATCATCCAGGAGACTCTCGAACCATTACTGCTGCGTTTCAACGACTGTTGGAGAATCAACCGATCGTTCCGGTGGCGGTCGGCGGTGGGCGACCAATAGACATTGCAGCCGAGGAGCGTATTCTCGATGTGATCCAACGCAACCCCCGTTTGGGCACGAGGACTGCTGCGAAGTTACTGCAGCGGCCAAATGGGCCCTCAGTTTCGCATTGGACGGTGTACAAAGTTTTGCGAAGAAACAGAATGCGGCCTTACAAAATTCATAAAGTGCAAGCTTTGATACCCGAAGACCTACCCCGTCGTCGCACTTTCTGCCGTTGGTTGTTGGATCAACAACAGCGTCTTCCAGGATTTATTCAGCATGTTATCTGGACAGATGAATCTACATTCACAAGGAACGGCATGTGGAATAGACGAAATTCACATTTATGGTCTGAAACCAATCCACGTGCCACTCAAGAGACTGGCCACCAAACCCGATGGTCGGTCAACGTTTGGGCTGGCGTCTTCAACAATGTTATCTTTGGGCCGGTGTTTCTACCACAACGACTTGACGGAGCTGGGTATCTTAGGTTCATTAATGAGAGCCTTGATGAAATTCTTGAAGGCATATCATTAGCTGAGCTAAGAAGGGCTTGGTTTCAACACGATGGCGCACCGCCGCATGTGGTACGGCCGGTACGTGAGCGTCTCACTGAACTATTTGGTGACCGTTGGATCGGGCGATTAGGACCGCAAGCCTGGCCACCACGATCTCCTGATTTGACACCTTTGGACTTTTTTTTGTGGGGGTGTGTTAAAGAAAAAGTGTTCAATAGAGTTTGTGACAGTGCTGAGGAAATGCGGGCAAGAATTGTGAGTGCATTCGAGACAATAAGAACGAGTTGTATCGAGGACTCAACTCTCATGCCTCGACTTCACGAAGAGACGCGGCGACGGGCTCGAATTTGTGTTGAGATGAATGGGGCACAATTCGAGCCACACTTTGTTAGACCGCGGAGAACATGAACAGGTAAGTACGTTTTTGCATTAAAATAAAAATCATGATGTTAAGTTTAACTGGTTAAATTAATCGTTACTTATAATAAAATTAAAGGTTATTGTAATAAATTACTTTACGTAGTACGTAGTACTTACGATCGTCTCTGTGTGTGTTTGTGTGTGCTCGTTTATGCATGTGTGCAACTATCAAAAGCGCTCGCGCCGCGCGGTCGTTCACCCGTGTATTTGTACGTTTTACATTGCGTGCTTAGAAAATACGATTTCGTTAAATACTAATTATTCAAGTAAACAAATATTTTTGTAGGACTCCATTAATATGGTATAATAACCATGTTAAAGATTCGGAAGCGTTTTCCTAACACCTTGTATAAAAATATTGAGCAAATTGAGAGGCAAACTTACCATCCGGTGTGGCACATTCAGTCCTGGACTGGAAATCGAAAGCTAACACTCGTTTCACTGTTCAACAGTCGATGCTTCCAACGGTTTCGATAACGAAACCACCATAATCGTAGTGTTGCCACCACCGACCGTCACCCAGCATTAGCCACTAGGCACCCTCCTACGACCGGCTTTCTCAGCGATGCCCATTCCGACAGTAAACGAGAACTTTTTTATGCCAAACGAAATGAAGCGGTAGCGTCCCATCTATGGGAAGGCAGCGATACTGGAGCAGAGCTTTGTCCTGAAATTCTAGTGACACGAGAGATCGGAGCACTCCGAAATAACAAGCAAAGTATCGCAGAGCATTCAAATATGTTAGCCAATTAATTACGCAATTTAGTCTCGACCATTAGGTATCCGTGACAATGCGAATTCCTTTACTCACCAGACACTCTTCGCAGCGTATATTTTACAAGTAAAGGAAAAGTCACCACGACGAATTCAGATTCCTTACATGTCATCATAGACCTTTTTTGATAGACTTTTTCCGTAAAGGAAAGGCGAAAGGAGCTTAGCTCATACAGCCATTGTCTGTTGTAATTTTTTTCATAGATATCATAGGAGTAAAAACACAAAAAATAATTAATGATTTATTTAATTCATGTTTTAATTTAAAAAAAAAACAAATAAATACACAACATGACGTAAGTAATGAGAAGAATGTCTGCTTCTGGTATTCTTTCTATGAAAAAAAAAACATTAAAAAATGTTGAATATAAATCCCGGATGCTTACCACACAGGGGAAAACAGTATTGTATAGAGATTGATTGACTATGCATAACTAACGATTGAATAACCTATAAGCGGCAGCTCATGTTTAGGCTCGCACGCTCGGGACTCGATGTACTATCCTGGTTATACTAGGCCCGACTATACCTCGAGCCATTAAAATAATACGTGCATTTGAACAAAATAAAATGACACTGTAGTGCTTACTAAACTCAAAGACAATGAGCAAAAACGTGCAAGACTCTGTTTGTAGAGTAACGGTATGCATTTCGAACAATTAATTAGTACGAAACGGGCAGGTGAGTGACGAAATATCAACGTCTGACTACCAGATCATCTATTTCGACTTAAATACATCAATACATCAATGTGAAACACTTGAATACGCTGTCAATCAAGTAACCAAAGACATAAAAGCCTTTTTTGAAGAGATCTATTTTCTAAAAACCTAGAGGAATATCAAAACACCATGGTGGAATTCTAAACTTAGCAAACTGAGTGAAGGTACGTGTAAATTATTCAATAGAGTCCTATTGAATGACACACTGCAGGTGAAACACCTTAACTTCTAGCGTTTAAAACATTTCCCAGGTTCAGTACTAATACACAAAGAATGTGTAAAATCCACACGTTCAGGCCTGCTAACGAAGACTGGAAGAAAACACATAATACTAATTATTGTGAAGAAAAAAAATCTATCATCTGGTGAGGATGAAATCTTTCCAGCCCTTTTGCGAGAAGGCAAAGATATCCTTTCACCTATCTTGGTTAAAATCTTCAAAGCTATATCTGGGATTATGTACCTGATAAAAAGACTACAGCCAAAGTCCTTATTCACAGCCAAAATCCTTTAGACCAAAAAGTCTAACCGCATTCTTATTCAAAAGAATGGAAAAGATTATTGATATATGCATAAGGGACAGACCTCTACAAAATCGTTCTTTGCACCCCCAAATAACATGTCTATCAAAAGGACAAATCTACGGAAACTGCCTTATTTAAACCGATAGATACGATTGAAAATGCTAAGGAAGCCAAAAAATATCTGTTTGTGCTTTCCTCGATAGCTTTTAATAACGTCACTATTGATATCCTATCCAAAGAAATGAGGGACAAAGGATGTATAGAAATTAAATCACAACTCCTAAATGTTTCCTTCCACTCATTTAAATTTGCCGTGACTAGGGATGCCCAAAAAAAAATGTATCGTAATGTATCGCATGTGTTTGTATCGATCCACGATATTATCGTATCTTTTTGTAACGATACATACGATATTTTCGATATTTTATATAAAATGGGGTAAGTATTTCGCTTTTTAGTGACAAAGTCAAACTCTAACCATAACTATTAGCATAACAAAAACATACTTTGCATATTATTGCAGAACTCTAAATAAAAACAAACTTTTTATAATTCACAGTTGATATTGCTCTGCACTTAAGCTGCGTAAAAATAGCAGTCTAGAAAGGCGTTTTGGATCTTATCGATTACGGGTTTCTGAAAGTGTGGATCCAGCTAAAGATAATAAACGTTCGGAGGGAACAGAAGTAGCCACAACAGATAAATAACGCAGCGCCAAATCACTGAGATCAGGCCAAATATTCTTTCTTGCTGCCCAGTATATTACAGGGTTTTCTTTTCTCTCTTTAAGAGGTTCTCTCATATATTGTTTCAAAATATCATCCATGCCTTCTCTGGGTTCACATTGACATGATTGAGATACCAACTCCTTATTAGATTTATTAAACTTCCTCATATTATTTTTCTCTTTAGCTGACGTAGTTTCCTGACTTTGGTTATTAAAAGCAGTGAATGAAGTTGAATTAGTAGATGAATTTGATTTTAACAATTCAGATATAACATTTAAAGCCTTAGCACAAGCTTGAGCATCTGTCAAATATATTTTTTTAAACCTGGTTCTAAAATTGTTAATATCGCCAGAATATGAACTTTTCTTTATTTCGAAAGCGTTTATTTATTTCATTCAAAATTTTTGCTTTAAATTCAGAACCTATATCAAAGAGCTCGTGCACATTTTCCGAAGCAGCGTCTATTGCTTTTGTTATACAATGTATAATAGGAATTATAATACTACTTGTTGCATACTGTTGCCAGATATTTCTTTAGAGACGTTTTCTATTGGTGATAAAATATTTACTACTTCTTTAATGATAGCTATTTCTGTGCCAGTGAGCATAGTTGGAGCTTTAGTGTTTTGAAGTAGAATTGAGGCAATATAATCAGCTAGCTCTATGAAACGCTTCAACATATACAATTTTGAATTCCAGCGTGTTACGACGTCTTGGATAAGTTTATATGGTTCTACTTTATTATTTTTTTGATATTGAATAAGTTCGTCGTGTTTAAAATATGTAACAATGTTTTTGACTTTATTTATAACTTCATTTAATCCTCGTGTATTATCAATAGAATTTTGTACCACAAGGTTTAGAGTGTATGCAAAACATGGCAAATGTTTATTTTTTCTGAGAAAATCATGTACGGCCTTTACTATATTTGCCCCGTTATCGGTTACGGTTGCTATTTTTTTTCCTTTTAAATATGCCAATCAATGCAAAGCTTTTCAATAACATATTTTAAATATTCAGCACTATGCCTCTCATTTAATTCATACACACCTATCACAGTAGATTTTAAATTTGTGTCTTCCAAATAATGGAAAGTTAGACCTATAGCTTCTCGTATTCATAGAGTCAGTCCATATATCACATGTCAAGCAAAAACTAGACACTTTTTTTAGCTGCTCTTTTATAATGCCACATAAATCGTATCTTTCATCTATTAGTTGTATTACAGTGTTTCTACTTGGAACAGGGTAATGTGGGCATAATACTTTCATAAGATGTTGAAACCCTTTCTTTTCTGTGGTACTCAAACCAAATCATCAGCAACAATAAAGAACAGAATGGCGTTTGTTATTTTACCCTCTTTCGATCCACAATGTTGAAATGCTTTTATACTGACCATGAGATCATCTATACGTTGCTGGCGTACTATCTCCCATATTGGTGTTGATGTTATATAAGTATGCGTCAAATTCAATAGATTCGTCTATTTGAAAAACACTGAGATCAGTAGTAGACTGGCTTGTACTTGTGGTGGGAAAGTCAGCAGCAGATCTTGAACGACTTGATCCAGACTCTAGATCTTCGTTCGTCTAAATAATAAATAAAGGAAAGTTAAAACAATGACAAAACGATTTTTTTATATTAAAACAATTTTATTCCCTATTCAAGTAAACAGGTATTTTCATGATTTAGAGGATGTAAAAAACTATGAGCCATCTTTTGCAGGGAAGTTCAGACAAAATCTATGATCAGTTGTATTGATTTTGTATGGGAGGTCCAAATATGTTTTTCATATTTCGACCCATGTTTCTTTGGGAAAGTTGTTCAGTATCACGGTGTGAACTATCCTGCAAAATATGGTTCGTAGTTTTTTTACATCCTCTATATCTTGAAAATACTTGTTTTACTTGAATAGGGAATAAAATTGTTTTAATAAAAAAAATCGTTTTTCTGACATGATGTTTGCTTTTATTTGTTTATGTTGTAGAGTCTTTCAAGTACAAGGTCGAGCATTATCTATAATGCAGATGAGTTGTCGTCCAAATATTAATTGAGCTGGGGATTTCGGGGTAGAACTCTGTGGAGTGTTTCTACATGTAAAAAGAAAATTCCGTAATTTCTCTGTTAGATCGTATTGTGTGTCGAGTTTACTGGCCATCCTTGTTTTGAATGTTCGTACAGGTGTGGAGATGATCTGATATGCAATATCCCTTTTTTCTTGAAGAAGTCCGTTATCAGAAACAATAATCTGTGGTAATCTAAAGGTGGTAAAGATGTTGTCAAGTTCTCTGCACAGTCTATCTGTCGTTGTCTTGTTCATCGGTTTAATCTCGACGCACTTAGATAGCGCTTCGCATAAAACTAGCCAATATTTTCCTAGAAATGGACCTGAAAAATCAATGAGTAGTCTCATACGTGGTTTGGAATTGACCATGAAATTATGGGTAGCTCTGTGTTGTTTGATCTATTTCCTTGACACCTTCTACATGAATTATAGTTGTCTATAATTTTCTCGATTGATGGCCACCGAACATGGAATCACGCAAGTGCTCTTATGGCTCATATTCCTGGATGTCCTCGATGAAGGTACTTCAAAGTTGCGTTTCTCATTGAATTTGGAATAACAATTTTGCCTTGCACATCATTATGTCGTTTTCAACTGCAAATTCATTGCGTTTCTTAAAATATGGTTGTAAATTGTTGTCATCATATTTGTAGGTATTCCAACTTGATCTTATGTGTAATTTTACTTTCGAAAAAATTGTGTCCTTATTTGTTTGTTCCTTAATAGTTAATTCGTTTATAGCTACCTCGTTAATCTTTAATTCACTTATTCTTTTTATTACTCTGTTGACAGATTCTTCAATCTTGGTTGGTCGCTCAGTAGGGTTTGGAAGTCTCGAGAGTATGTCGGCTAGTATATTGTTCTTTCCTTTTGTATACTATATATCATAATCATAACTGCCTTTTAATAACGCCCATCTGATAAGTCGATTGTTTATTAAAGGGCGACCTTCAACGTGACTAAAAAATACTGTCACCATCAACCAGGACTTAATCACGCCAAGGCTCTCATAAATATTTGAAAAAAATTACTGCAGAGCTTCTGAAGATAAGCAGAATGAAAATCTGAACGATTATACAAGCTTTAACTTGTCACTACATATTAAATAGACACTAATTTTATATAAATTTAAGTGACATTGATATTTGTTGATACTGTAACCAGAAGCGTGAAACTCCAAAACATCGCCTATATGAATGTGGACCGCTGAATCACAATTGAAGCATTCACCTGGGATGACACATAATAATCCGTTCAAAAGATATAAATAAAAGCTCTAAAAGACAAGAACAACAAAGACTTCCTAGAAGCTGCTAAAAGAGCTTAAAGAGCTACTACGACTTTGACGATGATTCACAAAAGACCTTTTAGGTTGCAGTGGCTACAGTTTCTAAAGAAACTGCATAGCTCCTTAAAACTAAGTAATAATAACACTATTTCAAAAAATATTATCTAAGCAAGTAGCAGATGTGGGTGTAATGCGGTTCATTTAAATATTTACTTAATTAAAACTTATAAACGAGCTCAAAACTGACTCGATTTAGCAAGTCGTATTAAATGTCAACATTAAAATCACTGCATGTCATCACTTTCTTATTAATTTTGCAAACTAATTTGAATACATCTTCCACAAAAGATTATTACATATTACTGGCAGTATTAAATGCGATAGTGCTATTTTGTCACACATTCAGGGTCAAAATATTCTAAAAAGTAAAACTATCTGTATCCACTTTCCTTTCACTGGCAACCCAGTGTTACTAGAGTCATTTAATATATATTTTTTATGTTATTGCTTCTTCAATACTTAATGGACTGTAGTTTTTAATTCTTAATTTCAAAACGAAATAACTCGACACAATTAAAAAAAAAAATGCCAGAACAAACCTTGAAATTCACTATAATTCTTAACATTGCGATACTATTTCTTTACGTTCTTTACATTTTAAATTAATATTTATTATTATGAAAGACCACTCTGGTATGCCAGATAACCTATAGAACAAACTCATAATTTTATAATTTTTTCAAACCTGTTTGAAATAATGCTTTTAACAGTTTATTTTAATTTAATTACGAAATTAAAAGAAATAAATGAGCTAATAACAGTGCCGTCTAGAACTTTGATTTATGTTTATTAAGCATATCTATATGACTAATCTGAAAGCCGTCGCCATAGTGACGTCACTCAATTGGAGGTCATGTTTCAAGTCACACAGACAACAAATCACGACTTTTGATTTTAAGATAATATGATAATCGTAAGATTTTAAGACTCAACACCAGAATCTCTATGTTTATTTTGATGTAAATTTTAGTTTTTATACAATTTCGTGACTTTTTTCACTACTGAAACTGCCGTACTATTGAGCTAGTGCCACATATACTGGGTGGAACAGAACGACCGACACTCCCGAGGTTCCTGGAGATTACTATTTATCTTTAATATAATGTAAAAAAATTATAAGTCTAGGTCAAATAGTTTTAGTGATATTAAATTACAAAGTTTTTGAATAAAAATGAGTGTTTTCAACCCTGAGTCAGCTGTTTTTGGGACGTACTAAGGAAAAGTTTTTAATCGGTCATTGACTTCATCATTTCTAAAAACAAAATAAACTAGTTTTTTGATTTATAAGACTGCTTTCATGCAAATTCTAGCAGTTAATCAATAAACAAGGCAGTCAAAATGCTTAAATCGATTAACAGACTAACAGCCGGTTTATGATTTGAAAAAAGAAGAAAATTTCTACTGCTTATTCTCAATAACCTAAGTTTTTTTAATTTCACTTAGTTTTATCAAACTGCTATCAACTGATCATCAAAAAACCAAATCGGAAACGAAAACTAAGTGATCTTAGTTTGAGACGTTTAACTTTACATACTCAATTAAGCAACCGAATGTAAAATTTCCTAAATTATTGTAGAGAGATCACTCTAACATTAATCTACGTTATTTTAAAAGAGCAGTTCTCCATAAAAATTGTTTGAATGGGGTGATACTCCTTTAACAACGGGATCGTTAACTAAACTCGATAAACTCACAAATCTTCCAGCGATTCATCATTAACACAAATGAACTTTGTTTTAAAAACATTGAGGAATTTGTTATTAAAATAGCATTTAAAAAGAACTTTAAAAAATGAGTGATATCAAAAGACGAATAAAAAAATATGAACCGAGTTCGTCCCTCAATATCAATATTAATCTCGCCCACCCGCCAGCCGCCAGGCGGTTTCATTATTCTGTTGGTATTGTCCGGTCGATCAGTCGCCGCCGACCTTTTGCGCTGGAGTGTTGTGCGCATCGCCGCCGACGCACCGCTGCGAAGCGTCTTTTTTGTCGATTTTTGTTTTGTTCTAGTGCATATTTAATTGAATTGTTGTTAATAAGATACTAGAGTGTTCGTCTTGAGTGTTATTTTTAGTTTAGTGAAGATTGTGTTTAGTTTTGTGTGAAATGTGATGTGCTTTGCGCGTGCATACACTGGCATGCAAAAGAGCGTGCTTAGCTGTCTTTAGAGAAGAACTGAACATTTTCAGCATCGACTATCATTAAGATATCGGTAAATAATTAAATTAAATTAATGTATTTCGCGGTCCGTTGTAATCTGCGCACAATCGATATTGCGCATGCGCGTTAAAGGACTGTCAACACTTAGAAATTTAAAATTTTTACTCCATTTTTACACCTCCTCTATTTTTAAATATTTGTCAAATAAAATGAACGTTTGCATGTAACCGAACTTGAAACTTTCGGCTGTGTCGGTCATTTTGTTCCTCCCTGTATATATATGTCGATATTCATGATATTTAAATATAGTTCTGATTCTACCTTTTCTAGATAAGCCTTATATTTTGGTGAGCAATAGTTAAGTCGTACAGACTAATCTTTGGTCATCTCATTGCTAGAGGTTTTCTCTGTTGTGTTATTACGCAATTAAACATATTCCATAATATCGAAGATGCTATTTCGCTCTCTTAATGTTACTATGGTAATGTAAACATAACAAGTTAATTACAATTTTAGCAGCTAATGGTATTAAAATAGGTAGTTAATTCTATTTTATTTACGTTACATTTGTTACCAATTAAAATTTAAACAATCAATTTTAAAATTAAATGTAAACTATTTAAGTCAGTTTGTCGTAGCTGGAGAAGGTGGAGAATAATATGTCATAAAATCGAAGACGGTAGAAAAATTGCTGCTTTCTTTTAGAAAAATGAAAGAAAGAAAAATAGTAGGTCTAGGAAATAGATAACAAATGAGTAGGAATGCTGGCTGGTACTTACAGCATTATTATTGTCATTTTTAAATCCTAATGCATTTACCATTTCGGTACGAGTTTCCCCTTCCTCAGTGCCATTTATTAAGGTAAATAAAGGCAGTGAAGCTGTTATCGGGGAGCAAATTACATTGCGGTTCATATTCATCAAGAACAATTCCTGGAAAATGTAACATAATCAATATTATAGACTTTTATTCAAGGTTGCTAACATTATAATTAACAATACGTATTCTATTGCGTTAATAATAATAGTAATATTTTATTGTCCTATAAAAATCCAAATAAGTGTTGGCAACTTAATGAAATCAACATTAATTGACCGGAAGTTGACGCCGGTGACGCCATCTTGCGGCGCACAATGACGTTCACGTGCAAGATGGCGACTATATAAGCAAACAACCGACCTAAGCATGGCAGTCTTAGTTCCGCTCGCGCTGTGACAACTAGTGTAAATTATAAAATAAAGTGTTGTGATTATTGATAGCTATGTGTGATGTATGCAAATTAGTGAATAAATAGTTTGATGATTGAAAGTGAGGTTTTAGTTAACATAAGGATTATAAATACGAAGGTTTTATATATACGCCTTCAAAAGTTTGACAGCCAATAGGTGATTAAAATCACTATTACAAATTAATCAGTGTCAGATTGTTTAGTCATAATATTAGGGGTTAAAGTATGAAATCGCCGTTTTATTGTAATAGGTTCCTTGAATTGGCATAGAATCTTCATGGTTTGAGGTTTTCGAAAAAATTTTTTTCACGTGGTTTCTATTTACTTGTTTTTTTTTTTTATTTATTTATTATCAACAACATTTACATCGATCATTACAGCTTATAGCCAATGCGATCTAGTAAACCTTAACAATTTTTCTTATCTTAACTGAAGACCTTGGTTTTTTATATATAAAATAAGCGTTATATAATATATATATGTTGTTCTTAATTAATTTTATATGTACAAAAAAATATTGCAGTTTTTGTAAACTCACTCAGAGCACAATCAAATATGTCAATTTCATTATCTATCATATTAATGATCAGAGGTCGGAATTAGGTAGAGTTATTTATGTACTTGCATCGAAATGTTGATATTAATGTGGACCTTCCCGGGATATCTTTATTTATTTATTTCTTCTTTCTTTATTTCTTTCTTTCATTGATGTAAGTTTGGAAACGTCGTGCGTGCAGTAGTTTAAATTGTGTAAAAGTAAATAACTTTTTATTTAAAAAAATCACGGTACTTTTTCTGCTCTTTAAAATTAATCTCGGGATTTGAGGCATATCCACTTTATTCTTTCGCTGTATGAAATCAGTGTAAGTACACGAATAACTCTACCTAATTCCGACCACTGTTAATAATAGATATAGCGCGTGTGAACGGTGCCTTCTTTAACAAATTTGTGCGTGCGCATGGAACCATCAGAAGTGGCACCTGCCTCCTGCGCCATATATACCGGTCTGGTACCCTGAGACATACCCAACCAAGTATATATATATATATGATACTAATGCGACATTCCTCCTAACCGTGAGTTCGTTATATCCTGTCATTCCTAACACAAACAAAGTAGGGTAGTTTAAAGGATAAAACGGATATACGCCATATAGAGTCATGTATAAATACCTAGCAAATTTATTTTGGACTCATTCTAACATGAGAGTATATTTCTTTTCATAAGGCGCCCATACTATTGCGTTATGCTCAAGCTGACTCCTAACCAATGCGTTATATAACGAAATGACTGCTTTCATGTTTGTAAAACCTCGTGCGAAACGTAAGACCAAACCCAAGTTACGATAAGTCTTCCTACATATGCTATTGAAATGAAATGAAAATATCATTATTCAAGTAGGCTATTACAAGCACTTTTGAATCGTCCAAAAAAATTTTTTCCCCTACCACTTGTTCAGGACGTATTTTAGCTGACAAGAAGTACAAGCGAAAGAAACTTACCAGCTTTTTATTATAAGTAATGACATTTACATAAATCATGTCATTACCAAAATAATATGTATTATCACAATAGTAATTACAACTTTCAAAGTCTGTAGGACATAGGTTGAACATATAATTAGTCTTTATAGAACAAAGCGAAGGCTATTAATTCCATGCATTGCGTTCCTTAAAATAATCATCAACTTTATAATAGCCTTTACTCATAAGTATATTCTTTACATGAATTTGAAATTTATTTATGGGAAGGTCAATTACATTTTGTGGAACTTTATTTAACATAGCAATACATTTACCCAGAAATGATCCTTTGGTTTTTTGAAGTTTGAAGCTTGGAACGGCAAGTTTATTTTTATTTCTTGTGTTAAGATTATGAACACTACTTTTTTTTGTGAAGGAATCGTAATGTTTTTTTTTTGTGTACATAATATTCCCATAGATGTATTGAGAGGCAACAGTAAGAATATTTATTTCTTTAAATATTTCTCTGAGAGATTCCCTAGACCGTAAATTATATATAGCACGGATAGCTCTCTTTTGTAAAATAAAAATATCCTGAATGCTAGCCGCAAAACCCCATAACAATATACCATACGTCATTACACTATGAAAATAACTAAAATATACCAATCTTGCCGTTTCAACATTTGTCAGGAGTCTAATTTTCTTAACAGCAAAAGCAGCAGAACTCAGTCTACTTGACAAGCTATCAATATGAGGATCCCATTGCAGTCGAGAATCTAGTGCAATACCGAGGAACTTTGTCGATTCTACTAACTCAACTTTTTCACTATTTACATTTATAAGTGTACTGACATGCCTCACATTAGGTTATGCAAACTTTATGCATTTCGTTTTATTTGAATTGAGCTTTAAATTATTATTATCAAACCACTGTAGAACATTGTTGAGAGAATTATTTACATCGTCAAAACAATCATTACCCCTCTCAACTTTAAATAGTAAAGAGGTGTCATCTGCAAATAATACTGTCTCGCACAAATTCTTCGTAAAGTGAGGAAGATTATTAATATGATCTTTAAAGTAGAGTCCCGATATAAAATGGACCCCTAAATCTTTAACCTCGGTCACTCTTATCATATCTTCCTCGTTGACCTTATAAGTATGCAGCATGGGATTATGAGCTCTCGAAAAAGTCATCGCGACGCATTTCCAGGTATTGAATTGTAATTTGTTTTTCAAGCTCCAAGCTACTATACTGTCTATATCTGTTTGTAGCTTCTTACAGTCTTCTAGGTCATTAATAGGAAGATATACCTTTAGGTCGTCTGCAAACAATAAGCATTTGGCATATTTTACTACAGTCGGAAGGTTATTAATCATCAATATGAACTCCAGCGGTCCGAGATTGCCCTGACTTACTCCGGATCTTGTGTAATAAGAATCTGACCGATATCCCGCATAATCCACATATTGCTGCCTGTCTCTCATATAGCTCAAAAAAATTTAACAGGTGTGGTGTGAAGCCGACGCTCATTAACTTTAGAAGAAATACGTCTTTATGAACTAAGTCAAAAGCTTTTTTAAAATTAAAGTATGCAACGTCAACTTGTAATCCTCTATCCACTGTAGGTATGAGATCAGCCATATAAGTAATAAGATTACTGGCGGTGCTCCTTGCTGGGCGGAACCCGTGCTGGACATCAGTCAGTTGTGCACTTATTTACGAGTATACCTTTGCGGGCGTTGGTAATACCGCTACCGGCCTGTAGCCCTCGACACTAGAAGACGTTGATGATCCGCCCTTGGGTACCGGCACCACTCGCGTTATCTTCCATTTTGCCGGAAACGTTTCATTTTGCAGACACCTATTAAATAAATGTAACAGTGGTTCCGCCAATATCTCTCGACAATCTTTAAACATCCATCCATCCGGACCGGCTGAAGTTTTAGGCCTTAGTCGTTGAAGCGCTTTCTGTATGTCTCGCAGTTTTAAACAGTCTATATGTACTCTCGCACCCGTATTTATGTGTCACCAGCCCTAATTACACTCGTGTTTACATCTAATGATGGAGATTCCACTGTATAAATTGAGTGAAAATACTCCGCAAACCGCAAACGTTCAAAATATTTCGAGGACCCCTACTGCATCTCTTCGATTTAATATAATTCCAAAATTCTTTGGGTTCCTTTAATAAATAATCTTGGACACACTCTCTATACCCGTCATGAGTAACTCTCATGTTCCTTTTAAGTCTGGCCCTACACTCTGAAAACTTACTATAGTCATTTGCAGAGCCGCTCGTCTTATACTTCTTATGTAAACGTGCTTTAATTCTTAAGTCGTTTATTATTTCACTGCAATTTAATTTCATATTAGGGTACTTCTTGAAAAAGCAATTTTTGAGTGTCACAGGGTCATATCTCCTATAAAAATAAATTATTATGATAAAAACTACTATTACATCGTTTCTTCATTTCATCAAGCATCGTGTCATATAGATTTCACGGATAAAAAACGACGTAGATCGGAGTAACTTACCCTCAACACCTCAAATCCGGTCAATTTTGCACGTTTTTACCGTGTCACACGCGCGCCAACTTTTGAGCAATCGCAAATATTTTTGAAATTACCCACGTTTTTAATCAGTTTGTTACACACATTTAAAAAAGACAAATCGCTTTACATATTGATCAAATTTCAAATTAATCGGAAGGAAACTTTTGATTTTATGGTCAGAAGTATACGTGTCACACGCTTAGCAAAATTTTTGCGGCGCGCCTTGCGCGAGATACTGCTCTGAGCTGGAGAGGCGTAGACGAACCCCGATTGGTGTTTACGAATCGTCATTTACGCCGCAGCTAGCAGGTGAGGTGGCCACGTCGCTGTTACCCGCGCTTTCGTTGCGAGAATAAGTTCTTCAATCTCTTAAATTTTGGTTCTCAGTTGTCCGGCTTTGCCATGTCACATTTTTTCAATATAATTGTACTTCTTCTAGAAAATGGGTTTTAAGGTGAAATACCTAGCTCTATAATGTAGATAAACAGTAAAAAACTAGCCGGTTATATCTTTTCAATGCAGAGTAATTTCAAAATATATGTTTTTTGGTAATTTCCATGGTGTAATTT